ATTAACAATTTGAAGGTGCAAGTAAGTCAATTAAAGCAAATAACGGGAAACATGAAACTATAAAAAGATCTAACATCATTAACAGGAGAAAACATTGATTCACGGGTAGCAAATAAGCATGGACGGCATTTAAAGCATATAATAGTTAAGACAGGGAAAGAGATAATTAAGGAAAGCGGAAAATCACGGAAAACAAGTAATTCGGCGACGTATAATCACTCGTCACCTTGCATATACGATGTAACACATGAAATTCACATACCACATTATCCGAGGGTCCCTAATTCTGTCAAGTCAAGGTTAAACTCAATATTTACCTCACTGTACAATCAATTCAGAACTCTACCGGGGCCTTTCCCCTAGAATTTGCCTCTAACCACTCGTATCTAACCACAATTGACTCAATAATATCAAATATTGCTAAAGAAATCAATTACAATGCATAAATTTAGAATTTCTAAACTTTCCCCTAAAAAGTCAAAAATCGATCCTGGGCCCACTTGGTCAAAACTCGAGGTTCGGACTAAAATTCATTTACCCATTCACCCCGAGCCTGATTGTATAATTAGTTTCGGAATCCGGTCTCAAATTGAGGTCTAAATCCCTAATTTGCAAAAAACATCCCAATTCTTCCTAAATCCCTAGTTTTCTACAATGGAAGAACAAATATTAGGGCTATGTTAGAAATGGAAGAAAACAAGTTAAAGTGTACAAACCTATGAATTGTGTTGAGTTTTTTCTTCAAAATCACTCTTAGGCCTAGCTCTAATTGAAGGGTTATGAAAAAGGGGAGAAATCCCATTTTAGAAATGTTTTAAAGTGTGGGCATCAGGCCTTCTTCGCGGCCGCGAAGGGCCTGCCATGTTCGCGAAAGGTAGCGGCCCAAAAGGCCTACGCGTTCACGAAGGGTTGCACGCTTTTGCGATGGTCTGTCCCCCCTGAATATCGCATTCACGAGTCTTGGNCCAATGCTTTGCGTTCGCAACCATGGCCTCGCGTTCATGTAGAACAAATCCTCCCCTAGACCAGTTCACTCTTTGCGTTTGCGAGAGTACCTTCGCGAACGTGAAGAAGGAAACACCAGAAACCAGCAGAAGTCCAAAAACAAGAGTTTTCTAAATCTAAACCATCTGTAGTCTATCCGAAATTCACCCAAGCCCTAGGGCTACAAACCAAATATGCACACAAGCCCAAAAACCTCATACGAACTCGCTCGCATGATCAAAACACCAAAATAACACCTAGGACTACGAATCAGACACCAAATCAAATCAAATTTTCAAGAAAACTTTAAAACTTATATTTTAACAACCGAACGTCCGAATAACGTCAAACCAACTCCATTTCTCACCAAATTTTACACACAAGTCATAAATATAGTAATGGACCTATACCAGTTTCCGAACCCAAAATACGGACCTGATATCAACAAAGTCATGCATCTGTCAATTCTTTAAAATTATTAAACCTTTAAACTTTCAATTTTAGACTAAAATCAATAACTCGAGCTAGGGACCTCTGAATTTTATTCTAGACAGACGCCTAGGTCCCAAATCACGATACGGACCCACCGGGACCGTCAAAACATGGATCCGGGTATATTTTCTTAAAATGTTGACCGAAGTCAACTCAAATGGATTTTTAAGGTAAAATTTCATATTTTATCAGTTTTAAACATAAAAGCCTTCCGGAAAAATACTCGGACTGTGCACGCAAATCAAGAAAGGCTTAAAGAAGATATGGGAGACTTCGAAACCCATAATTAGGTTCTAAAACTCTAGATGACCTATCGGGTCATCACATTCTCCACCTCTAAAATAATCTTTCGTTCTCGAACGAGCATTGAAAAGTACCTAGGCCGGTAAAAAGCTGTGGATATCTACTCCGCATTTCCAACTCAGACTCCCAAGTAGCTGCCTCGACCTGCTTGCCTCTCTACTGCCTCGAATTGAAGGATAATTCTTTGACCTCAATTGTTGAACCTGCCAGGCTAGAATAACCACCAGCTCCTCCTCATAAGTCAAATCCTTGCCCAACAGGAATGAGCTGAAATCTAACACGTGGGACGGATCACCGTAATACTTCTGGAGCATGGACAGATGGAATACTGGATGAACTGCTAACAAACTAGGAGGCAATACGAGCCTGTAAGCCACCTCACCTACTCTCTCAAGAATCTCAAAAAGTCCAATATACCTAGGGATCAACTTGCCCTTTTTTCCAAACCTCATCACACCTATCATGGGTGAAACCCGGAGTAATACCCTCTCTCCGACCATGAATGCAACGTCACGAACTTTACTGTTGGCATAATTCTTCTGCCTAGATTGAGGTGTGCGAAGTCGGTCCTGAATAATCTTGACCTTATCCAAGGCATCTTGTACCAAATCTGTACCCAACAACCTAGCCTCCTCCGGCTCGAACCACCTAATTGGCGAACGACACCGCCTCCCATATAATGCTTTATAGGGAGCCATCTGAATGCTCAACAGGTAGTTGTTGTTATAGGCAAACTCTACAAGGGGCAATAACTGATCCCAAGAACCTTCGAAGTCTATAACACAACCGCGAAGCATATCCTCCAATACTGAATAGTGCGCTCGGACTGTCCGTCCGTCTGAGGATGAAATGTTGTGCCCAACTCAACCTACGTACCCAACTCACGCTGTACTGTCCTCCAAAAATGCAAGGTGAACTGCGTACCTCGATCAGAAATGATAGACATGGACAAGCCGTAAAGACGAACAATCTCGTAAATGTAAATCTCAGCCAACCGCTTTGAAGAATAGGTAACTGCCACAGGAATGAAATGCGCCGACTTGGTCAGCCAATCCACAATGACCCATATCGCGTCGAACTTCCTCTAAGTCTGTGGGAGTCTAACAACAAAATCCATAGTGATACGCTCCCACTCCCACTCAGGAATCTCTATCTTCTGAAGCAAACCACTAGGTCTCTGATGCTCATACTTTACTTGCTAACAATTTAGACACCGAGCTACATATGCAACTATATCCTTCTTCATCCTCCTCCACCAATAATGTTGCCGCAAGTCCTGATACATCTTGGCGGCAACCGGATGAATAGAATATCGGGAACTGTAGGCCTCCTCAAGAATCAACTCACGAAGTCCATCTACATTGGGCACATAAACACGACCATGCATCCTCAAAACTTCATCATCTCCAGCAGTAACCTGCTTGCCACCACTATGCCGCAATATGTCTCTAAGGACAAGCAAATGAGGGTCATCATACTGTCGCTCCTTGATGTGCTCAAACAAGGAAGATCGAGTGATTGTACAAACTAGAACACGACATATGGATAGGGTATTAAACTTATTACTATTGACATATGGATAATAGACTAAATATAAAGTATAAGAATTTCAGATTTTCGGATATCCAAAAATTCGAATTGCCAAATTCAATATCCAATCCGAAATTCAAACTGTATTAAAAATTAAATCCAAAATTCAATCAGTAATTCGAAAATCTAAACCAAAAAATCAAGAAATTCGGATTTCGGGTTAGTCCAAAGTATGTCCATCCCTGCTTCACACAACCCTTAATGATAAAGTAATATAAGTTCATCAACATGAGGTAAGGAAGAACACTAGTGGCAAAAATGGTCAAATAACTGCAAAGACCATTCTTCCATGAAATGTAAAAAAAAAAATATAGTAGTATATTTTACGAGTATTAACCGAAAATCACAATTCCAAGTAAAATAGTATACAATTATATTAGTAAAACTTATTACAACAACAACATACCAAGTATTATTACACACCGTAAGAATTTGGGGAAGGTAATATGCACGCAGATCTTACTCATACCTTGTGAGGATAGAAAAGTTATTTTCAATAGATCATCGACTCAGGAAAACATAAGCACCACATTAATGAAAATATAGACTTAGTAAAACTTATTATAATTAGAAAATACAATGTCATTTTTGTATCATCAGATTCCAAATCTTTACATGACGAGATGGAAAAGCGTTACTCCTCCAACCAAAAAGCAATTGCTTCAAAAATTTGAAGAGTTTTTGCAGCGTATAAAGAAAAAGTACATTTTTTTTTCACAGTTGCAATTTATTTTTTAAAAATTGTTTTTCAACCGAAAACCAGGAAAGTAAAGCTTTTGATTGAGAAACAATTTTTGCAAAACATTGATTTACAAAAGTTAAGAATTGAATTGCAAAAAACGCCATAGTTCAGCTTTTTCAGTGGAGTAGCTTTAGGAGAAATTTTTAATTAATTTACAAACCTATATTTATTTGATCTAATTCAAATTGACTTTCGAGAACATCATACTCAGCAACTTTGAGGTGTTACTTAAAAAAAAAAGATAGAAAGTCCCCTCATTTTGCAAAAACAGGTAAATTTAGTAGGCGTTTGGACATAATAATGGTAAAATTCCAAAAAATGGTGAAAAAAAATTTCAAGTGAAGATGGTATTGGAAATTTAGAGTTGTGTTTGGACATAAATTTCAGTTTGATTTATTTTTGAAGTTTTATGAGTGAAAATTTTGAAAAATAATCTTTTGGAGTTTTTCAAATTTTCGAAAATCTATAAAATACATATTCAAATACAAATTGAAAATTTTAGGAAAAACAATGATTTGGGAAAAAAGTAAATTTTTTTGGAAAAAAAAAAATTTAGGTCCAAACGGGCTCTTAATAGCCTGAGCGTCAGCATCCCCACGAACAACAAAAAATAAATAAATAAACTGATGGTCCTTTCCTCTGCCCCGCTCCTCCATCTCCCCCTTCACACACACAATATATATTCATACTGTACCACATAATATACACATGTCAATGTAATGAAACTGTAAAAGTAGTAGTGGAGCAGTAGTGAAAGTTGTAGTAGTATAGCATAAAATAGGCAGCTAAAAAATCCCATTGTCTCATTCTCCCACCCCTCCTCGCCTCTTGGTTTATATATGTTGAGGGAGGTCCCTATCAATCCATCTTTCTCACTCAAAAACAAAAATAAAATAAAATAAATAGAGCAGAGTGCTTTCCCTTTCTCATGTGTCTTCTCAAACTAGCCTCAGGTCACAGTCGCCGCCATTAGCATTTATTTGTACTACCTTTTCTTGCCCCTATTATCCTAGGCAACAAAACCTATATATATATATATATAAAACCGTATCATAATATTATAAAATAAAAAAGAATAGAAAAATAGTTAATCCATTTTCACTATATATATGCATATCACCACCCTATATGTATAGAAATAGAACCCCATGATTTTCTTGGTTTTCACCATTTTCTTCCCCTTCTCTGTGAAATCTTGAAATTCGAACCAGTTTTTGGGTTCAGAAACTGATGTACAGGGGTATACCATAAGGTGGGTTGGTTTTGTTTTCGTTGTTTCTTGATTGTGTAAATATAAAAAAGAGCAAGCTTGTACTACATCTTTCTCTGTTTTTGTATTGATACCTTCACTTTTGTTTTTGCGTTACAGTTTGAAGTGCAACTTATTTTGGTTTGAGGAACTGACAAGCACAGGGTAAACTAAAAGGTGGGTTGGTTTTGTTTTCATGTTTTTGTTATTTATGAAGACAAGTATATAGAGAATTAAACTAAAGGTGAAAGTTCTTGAATATTGATGTTTGATCTTCTTCTTTTTACTGTTCTGATGTCTTGGTTTTGTTTTGCGTAATAATCTGAAGTGTTAATTGTGTGGTTTACAGACCACTGCATGCTATTCTAAGGAGTTTTCTTGACTATCCTTCAGGCTTCAGGCTTCATCAATGGCAGAGAAAGACCCTGACTTTTTGTCCCACAAACTGCCTACTCCTTCCCAGGTTTTCTTCTTTTACCCACAAAATTTAAATGCTTATGTTTTTCAGAAGAGAGGATACTAAATTAAAGTTGCATTTGTGATACTTGAAAAGGTGGTGGAGGAATTAAAGGAGCTATGGGGAATGGCTTTGCCAATAACAGGAATGAATTGTTTGGTTTATGTTAGAGCAGTGGTGTCTGTTCTATTCTTGGGCAGGCTTGGAAGTTTACAACTTGCTGGTGGAGCACTTTCCATTGGTTTCACAAACATAACTGGCTACTCTGTTCTTGTTGGTCTTGCTTCAGGTCTTGAACCAGTTTGTAGCCAAGCTTATGGCAGCAAAAACTGGGACTTGCTCTCACTTTCCCTTCAACGTATGATCTGTATACTTATGTTGGCCATCATTCCCATAAGTCTTCTGTGGATAAACCTTGAGTCCATCATGCTTTTCATGTGTCAAGACAAGGAAATAACAGCAGTGGCTGCGACTTACTGTATATACTCACTCCCTGATCTTGCAACAAACACTTTGTTGCAGCCTCTTAGGGTGTACCTGAGGTCACAAGGGGTGACTAAGCCACAAATGTGGTGCACTTTTATTGCAGTGCTGTTTCATGTGCCTTTGAATTATTTTCTGGTGGTGGTGATGGGGTTAGGGGTACCAGGAGTTGCTATGGCTTCAGTGCTGACTAATCTGCATATGATGGTGTTGATGATGGGGTATGTGTATGTATATGGGAAGTGGGAGTGGAGATGGACGGCTGGGATTGGAGGGATATGTGGTGGGTTGGGGCCACTGCTGAAGTTGGCAGTTCCTAGTTGTATAGGGATATGTTTGGAGTGGTGGTGGTATGAGATTGTGACTGTACTTGCTGGATATTTGCCTAATCCAAGACTTGCTGTTGCTGCCACTGGGATTATGATACAGACCACTAGCCTTATGTACACTGTTCCCATGGCCTTAGCTGGTTGTGTATCTGCCAGGGTAAGTTTTCCATCACCTTTTTCTGCTGAAACTGTGATTGCTTCTAGTATAGGAAGCATACTTAATGCTGACATGAAAAAAGGCAGCTCGGCGTAGCACGGGTTTCGGGGAAGGGCTGGACCACAAGGTCTATTGTATGCAACCTTACCTTATATTTCTGCAAGAAGCTGTTTTTACGGCTCGAACCCGTGACCTCCTGGTCACATGACAACAACTTTACCAGTTATGCCAAGACTCCCCTTCAACTTAATGCTGACATGACGAGAGCTTTTACTATAAATTCTTGGAGAAAGCCATTTAATGTTTGGAAATCTAACTCATAATTCATATACTAAGTTTTATTTGGTGGTATTTGATTGGACATAGAGTTTAAGAAACATATACTTTGGTATGTGACACGTGGGTTTATAAATATATTATGACATTTTCATCAAGGGAAAATGGGAAGTTAAAGTTAGAGAGTTGTTAGATGTAGAAAGGTGGTCACTATAGGACTAAAAAAGAAAAGAGTATTGTATATGGAAATTATAATTTCTAATTTAACTATCTCATTTGTATGTGCAAGATATAGTTTCTACTTTCTAGCTAGAAAACCTCTTTTTTCTTCTTCTATGATTCTCCCATTTCATGGCTATGCTGTGAACTAAGTCAATTAAAAGGGTGTCAGTAATTATGTAATTTTGTGACAAATCACTTTGTCTAGTCATGAAATCTGCTGAGCTCTTTGCAAATCAAACCCACCAAAGAAAATCCTTTTGTTCGTTTACTTTAACTAATGGATGGATGATATAGCCATATTCCTGTTACTGCAATTATTTGTTAGCATAAGTAAAGTGATGATTAGTTGATAATGATCTTTGTAATGTTTGCTGACAAATATTAATGAATGTTGTTGTGAATTGACATATTTAATTGTGACAGGTTACTTAGGGGGGAAGGGTTGAGGGAACAATTTGCTTCAATTTGTTGGATGGATTTGACCTCTTTGACTCAAATACATTGCAAATGCTTATTTGTCCTAAACCTTTTTGTTTAATGATTAGTACTTTAGAACTGGAAAGCAATTAGGCCATTGAAACCTTTGCTATTCATTATCCCAAGTGGCTGCTCATCTTTGGTTTCTTATGGTTGACATACTATAGTGGAACATTTATTTGTACAATTTAGTGAATAGAGATCCTAAAAGGGAGTGAAACGTGTCGACATTTTGTTGCATATTGCACTATATATGATTCTTAGGTTATATAGAGCCATCTTTTGCTAGGCACTGTAACATTGCTTGATTCTGTATGATAAATGAACTTCATTTCCTGTTTTAGATTTTTTATCAATTATATGCATGAGACTGTTATGGAAATCTTGGTTCTTGATAGCATATAACTAACATACCAAAGAGAGAGGGAGGCTCCTATTATAACTTAAACTGTAGAAAAAACAGAAAAATTTCTTGTCTAGTTTCCTAAAGATTGTATGCTTTTTGTTCAGTTACTTTATTGCATCATACTTCATTTACATCCCTATTCAACCGAATCATCCATGTTGAGTGGTTACATCCTCTTTTATGCCTAACTTCCTTATCAATTGGCTAATATATGACATAGCCATTTAACCAACTAGAGTTGACCAAGGATTTCATGCCTAAATACCCTTGTCTCTTTTTGCATATTTTATATGTTTGGCATTTTACTAGCAGCATCTTAATATTGTAACGTCTCTGACTTTAAAATGTTATGCCATTTTATCTTAAAACTTGGATATTATAGAGTTATCTTTTTGTAATGGTATATTAATTTAATGTCAAATTCAGGTAGGGAATGAGTTAGGAGCTGGGAAACCATACAAAGCCAAGTTAGCTGCAACAGTTGCATTAGCTTGTGCATTTGTGATTGGACTCATCAATGTTATATGGACAGTGATCTTCAGGGACAAATGGGGAGCCTTATTTACAAAAGATGACATGCTTAGAGCACTTGTTGCATCAGTCTTGCCATTAATAGGGATGTGTGAGCTTGGAAACTGTCCACAAACCACCGGTTGCGGGATACTCCGTGGAACGGCTAGACCGGCCATAGGCGCCCGGATCAACCTAGGCTCATTTTACTTCGTGGGCACCCCAGTGGCCGTAGGATTAGCCTTCTGGCTAAAAGTTGGGTTCAGTGGCCTATGGTATGGCCTCTTGTCAGCTCAAGCAGCCTGTGCTATCTCTATACTTTATGTTGTGCATTGCTGCACAGATTGGGAAGGTGAGGCATTGAAAGCCAAGAGGCTGACCAACTTGGAAATGATGGGCCATAGAGATGACACAAGTGATGATGATGAACAAAATGTCCTTTTGGTTAATGAGAAAGACAAGTTTGATGATGTTCTATAAAAAAAAGGAAAGTAAGAGAACAAAGTTCAATGAGTTTGGAATTATGTANTTTTTTCTCCAATTCTTCTGCAATTCCTTTTTATTTCAATGCTTTTTTTTTTTTTTTTTTTTTTTTTTTCTTTTTTTCTTTTTTAGGAGGGACTATCTTTTTGTCGTTTAGTTGCTTTTCTCAAGGCATGGGTTTGTGAAAAAAAGGCAAAGGGAATATCATATGGTGTCCCATACAAAAATGTTCCATTATTTCAGGCTCTATACAAAAAACATTTTGCTTTGAGTTGCTCGCCTATACTCAAGTGGTTCCTATATTATAATAGATGTATCCTAAATTTTGGTGCCCCCAGCTTTACTTTTATGGTTTTCTTTTTTATAATTTAAATACTTAATTTGTTGAGTTATTGCGACCAATAATGTTGCTTGATAGGGATTAAGGGTAGAACAACAGACTAACTAGTCATCATAGACCTATAAGAGTCTTTTGATAATTTAATTGGAGAAACTCTTGTGTTGGATGGATTTTTTTTACTTTACATTAAGTAAAGCATTTGCACTTTAGTTTCACTTTTTTAATTTACTTAGAAATTAGAATGACGTCCCAATGAGCATTCATCCGGGTGAAATTCAAAAATAGTTAGATTTATAAGTGATAATTTATCACGCTCCAATATTGGGAAACGTGACCGGCGCTCAAGGGTGAAATTCAAAAATAGTTAGATTTATAAGTGATAATTTATCACGCTCCAATCTTGGGAAACGTGACCGGCGCTCAAATGTGATACTCCGGTCGAACAAGCCTGCACAATGTCGTCTACCCAACTCACCCATGCATAAAGAAAAGAAATATTTCATTAATCAGAGAAAAGAAATATTTCATTAATCAGACAGTAAGAGGTCATGTGAACAACACTAGTTCATTGCCACAAGTTGCGTCATTAGCAAGTCTCCAAAATAGTGCACTATACAATCATAGTTGAAGTGGAACAGGTGATACAATTACATCACTTTTAGTTTAACTTTCCCAAAATAAGGTACAACATACGCTATCTCTACGGAGCGTCTAACAGAAACGAAAGAGTGTTACGACAACGTCGGCAACAAGACACCGACTATAACTCAAAATGTTGTATACAAGGGACAAGAGATACAGAACCCTGGAATGAAGTGGGGGTCACCAAGTCAGCTGAGGAGAGGGTGTACTGCTATCACTGCTCAATGCCGCCTACTATGGAACCACCTGCATCCATTAAAGATATAGCGCCCTCGGCAAAAGCGACGTTAGTACATATGGAATAGTACTAATATGAAAAACTAAACACCTCTCTAATAGAACGAGTAGCAGTACAATGAGAAAGAAACATGGAATCAATGAGGGCCTCAAACAATATTAAAGTATCAAGTTAGGATAAAGGATAAATTTCAAGCAAGTTTCAATATTTTAAGTTGAGAGATCTTTAGTACCGATACACCACTGTACTTTTAGCACGGAGTCCGATCTCAGCCCGATCGGCTAAGCCGTCTCACCCCGAGACGTCGACTCACAATACCACCATGTGTCGGTATGGCGTCCGATCTCAGCTCGATTGCTAAGCCGCCTCACCACAATGCCGAGGGGGTTGACATCACCTCCCATTTCGCTAGCAATCATCTCATCCCATTTGAGGGGAATTATCTCAACACTTCAATCGCATTCATATTCGGGGAAAACTCTAACCACTTCACACAGAGATTTTACCCCTCACTCACTCCTACACCGACATGTGTAGTTTCGAGGTTAGGTTATTTCAACCTACCCTTCTTCGGTGACTAAAACGATACTCCCAAAGCATTTATTATATAAAAGGGTTTACAACTCATTTCATAATTTTTCATACATCTTTCCATTTTATTGGCACTAGTGTCCACAATTGTAATATTATTCTTGGCACGTCGGCCACATTTCATATTTCATACTCGCCCTTATGACTTTCAAACGTTACCATGGATTATCATTAATATTTCAAATCAAACTTTAAGTACACATATGATCAAACAAGCGTCTTAGGCATATTGAGTTTCTCTTCCGCAATTAGGCATACTAGCTTATAATTGAAACATGATTTTTTTCAAAACCTTTGGTACATTGATCATACAAGATTACATCCTCAGAGGGAATCACGATATGATAGGAACATTTGTGACACATTTTTGGTACATACATCTTTTAGCACAACACTTATTTTAGAATTATCAAATCTATTGGGAAGTACTCGGGACATGAGACATAACAAATTAAGTCAACCATAACCGCAACTTACAAAGACGTCATGGAAATTGATTCTACCAAAGGAGTTTAGCCAACATACCTTGTTTGTGCTTTCTTAAATTACTACAAGATTCCGAAACTCCTAGCGACTTCAATCTAATTAAAGATACGACAAAATTTAACTATAATTAGGAAGATCTCGAGGTTTCAGCTCATTAGAGCATTTTATCAAGAACAATATGTGCATTAAGGTTTCAAGGTCCTCCTATGGTGGGTTTTTGTCACGCCCCGAGCCCAGGTGCGAGACCGGCACCTAGTGCCTCATTTATCCTTGCATACCATTTGCGACTAAGAGACTCTGAACATGTAATGTCATATATGGAGACTAACACTGACTAATGTCAACATAAAGCTGGGCCGGTAAGGCTGTCATAATTACTACAACTGACAGGCCAACAAAATATATGTACAGGGCCTACAAGCCCAACATACTGCACTAACTGACAGGATATATCTACAAGCCTCTACTGATAGATGTAGTGTGATTGGAACAGGGCCCCGACCTACCCTTAACCTATCTACATATATGCACAAGATGTACACCAAACTGCTAGACCTGGGAACTCCGAAAGACGGGGAGCTTACCGATAAGGCTGAACTCGGCAAATACCTACTGAGGAGGTCTACCCGTCTTTATGTCCGAACCTGCACCCATGAAATGCAGCCCCCCCCAGAAAGGGACGTCAGTACGAAATAATGTACCGAGTATGTAAGGCAATATATTGAAAGTTGAAACAGAACTGATAACTTGAACATATGCTTAGCTGCTGATACTGACTCAATTCTCTCAATATAATAAGTAAAATAGCTGTCCGGACTTATAACGCTCGGTATATAAATATAACTGCTCTGCCGTAGTAGGCTCGCTCATAGACGCTCTGCCACAGTAGGCTCGATGTATAACTTACTATCTGATTAGAGATTGCCCAATAGGGGCTTGCCTATCGATTATAGCTTGATAGTGATGAAAATACTTTTAATACTGTATATATGTAAACTCTATGCTCTTTTGACCGGAAGAAGGAAATACTTAATTGAATATGCAGTCCCGATAAAAAGAATATGGTAACTTACAAAACTAGAAAAATATATGTAATTTGCGAGACTAGCAAAATATACGTAAATTCCGGAATACGATTTTTTCTTTATGCCTCGTTATCAAACTTGTGTAATTATGATATTATGCTAAAACGAAGGAAAAGCTTAGCCTTAACATACCTGGAGTAGGAAAAATCCCATATAATATTTTGTTGGAAAACCTTCATTGATTGAACAAAATTTTTCCCCTTCTCCTTAGAAATTCACGGACGAAATTTGTTTCTGGTTCCTAAAAAACTTGGAACGAAATAATGTTTTCAATTTCAAAGAAAACGTTTTCTAGTTCTTTGTTTGGAAGGAATAACGTTTCTCTTTTGAACTTTTGGAAAGAATAATGTTCTTTGGAGTCATTTGATTTAAATTGAATCTTTAGCAGATACTTAGTCATCATTCCTCATTTATGCTTAGATTGCCACCTAGACATAAGTGACTTCTTAGTCACATTTCTGACATGGTGGATCCTTGCCATGTGGTTTGGGAATAATTATTAAGTTTCTATCCACTTATTAGTTAATCGGGTAATGTCATGTTACCCGGTAATTAATTAATTCCCGTATAATTTAAAAATTACTCCAAATTACTTAAAATTATACTTATTTTTAATATACTTTATACATTATATTATCGTGATAATATGGTATCTTGCATGGTACTAGTTTATAATTATCGGATATTATCACTTGATCCGTATTTTATCCCAAATTGGCTATTTTTAACGAAACTCGTTTTCTCTAATTCGTGTGCCCTTTCTTCCATGGCACTTACTTATTGCTTGGTACAAATAGCATAAATATTCTAACCTCAAGGTAATCTCATCCCCAAGTTTACATCAATTAACTTAGGACGAATCCTTAACGTACGAAAAACGCGAGATGTAATATCCTTCCCTCCTTAAAAACATTCGTCCTCGAATGTGTATTCTAATACTTTGGGAATTTTTTTGCCAGAGCCTCTTTCGTACATTAGACTAAAACCAATTTGTACACAGCCAGAAAACTTACTATACATGCCACACATGGACACTATCTATAAATAGCAACACTTGGCTCCACACAACTGTCCATTATAACTTCTGAGAGTTAAAAATGAGAGCTTACCTAATGACCTACTGGCCTGAGAGTTTATACCCTCTAGTCATATCTTCAGTTTGAAATAGGTGGGGGTATTTAGACTTTATTTATTCTTCTGCTTCCCACGTCATCTCTTCCACATTATTACTTCTCCATAAAACCTTCACGGATGCTATCTCCTTATTTCGTAGCTTGCGGATTTGTCGGTGTAGGATGGAAACCGGAATTTTCTCGTATGACAAGTCCTTTGTAATCTGTACGTCATCTGTGGGCACCATGATCACGGCCTACTCCGCACTACTATTGAGTAGCGAGAGAGGGTCGGAGCAGCTTTTACCCGATTTAGGGTCGGGATCGATTTCCACAAAGAGCTAGAATTTGGAATCGAGTATTTATCTAGTTTAGGATTGCGTATGTGTTCCAAATTACACTTTTAATCATTTTTGGGGTTTTCGTTTTACTTATACTATTATCAACTACAAATGGTAAATGCAACTAGATTAAGCTAAGAGTTAAACTAAAAAGGGTTGTTCAAATGGTTTAAAAGGCACTAGAGTAATGACTTTCACCTATAT